ACTCTAACCATGGCACTGACTTTGTCTTTCAGCAAGAAAATGCGTCAATCCACGCCTCGCGCGAGACGACGGGTTTCTTGCTTGACCTTGAAATCGACACCATGGTATGGCCAGCAAGCTCGCCGGATTGTAACCCGATAAAAAACGTGTGGTCGGTGCTAGCGGCGCGGGCGTATACTCACGGCCGCCAGTAAAGCTCTGTGGATCAATTGGAAGCCGCAATTCTATCTGCTTGGGACTCCATCGAGCACGAGTACTTGCTGAAGCTCGTGGAATCCATGCCTCGCCGGTGCCTAGCTGTAATCAAGCAGAAAGGCAGTCTCACTAAGTACTAATTTTTAATATAGAAATTCGTATGGAATCGCATAGAAAGTGTTTATTTTTTCAAAGAAAGGGGCTGGTCCTAAATTGTGTCGTCGCCTCTGAAAGTGGTGGTTTGTATACCAGCTACACGAAGCTTTGCGAAATCGGAGTTGTTAGCACAAGTAGCGCCATGCTATTGCAAATAAAGAGAACATATCTAAATGGCGGCCGGTAATTCAAAGTAGAAGCTGATATATTGGCCAAAGTATACCCCCGATTAGGGGGTCCTATCATTTTGGCGCGCACGGTATAGCACATAAATATTCGCTCTTAGGTTTCAAATAATTACAGATATATCCATAAAAATGTTATTTGACAGGATGGTCGACGCTTTCGGATCGCCCCTAAGACTCTGGATATAAATATCCAGAGAACAATGTTTCGTATAGTATACTCTAGTAAGAGCACCTCCACCGGTATTGTGTATTGCAAAGTGATTATCGAGAGTGAATCGGGAATCGCGCCCCCGAGTGCATCATACAAAAAGGTAATTTTTACGCAATTCATTTTCCAGTTCCCAACGTTTGTATTGCTCATTTTTTTATTTGCAGTGTTAATAGTTACTTTTTGGTCCTTATCAATTTGCCGTTGGGGTTCAATTTTTTGCAATAGCTCACTTCATTTGTAATCTTGCGTACCTATCAATACCGTTGGAGGTGCTCTAAGATGCTCACAAATGTGTTTCTACTCTATCTATAAGAGAGCTAAATAGTAACGTTACTTGCAATCCCTGTTCTTAATACTATATGGCATGTTGTTGCGCGGCAATCGCTAACAAGCGCCATGGCAGCGGGGGTTGCAGCCCCAAAAGCCACGGCGCATGGGTTTCGAAACGAACGAAGCATGCATAGAGTAACCACAAGTTGTAGTCGACCGCAGGCTAAGCTAATATACTCACTTCTACATTTGATCAAGAGCGACAAACAACAAAGAATTCTTTAGCTGGGGAGTCGCTCCCAGCATGGAGGAGTCCGACGAGGCAATGGTGCCTCACTCTGGGACGGGGATGCCGATTGCGGTGTATCCGCCTCTACCACCGTATACAGATCCTGAATTGACGTTGACCCGGGAAACAACGACACGAACGGTGGTAATGCAGGGTGGGGAAACCCACCGCCAAGTTGAAGCACTGGCCCAGCACTCAGCGGCCGTGCAGCAAATGACTGCTGAGCAGCTTGGACAAGTGAAGGCTCAGCAGGAGCATCTGGCGGCCAAGACACCAGAATATCTTCAGCAACAGCACGACCGTAATTCGGCCATCCATGAGCAACAGCAAGATATGAAGCAACAGATGGAAGAGCAACGGCGATTCCTAGAAATACAGTTCCGGTTGTTGAAAGCGGCTGAAGAAGCTGTGGGTCTACAGGAGCAGCGCCTGGAGAGCCTAGCAGAGGCGGTGCAGCCTCATCTTCAAGCGCGCTGGGGTGCGTTCGAGCAAGGAGCAGCACCTCCATCGGTGAACCGCAGCTCTGAGAGGCCTGCTGTCACAGTAGCTGCTGCGGCCAACCTGCCGGTACCCCCGATATACCGAGGCAGCTCTAAGAAGGAGAACCGTGACTTCATGTTTAGTTTAGCCATCTGTACACGACGCATTAAAGCGTTAAACCAAGGCACACAAGCGAGCATATTTGTGATGCCTGCATCGAGCAGAGCACGATGGTGCGCGTTTGTGGCTTTGAATTGTTCAAGGATGAGAGAGATATTACAGAAACGGAATGGAAGAACTACTTTTTGTCCGCTCACATCCCAGATCACACTGCGTACAAGACCCTGGAGAGAGAAGTGAAAAGTCTTTGCATGAACATTGAATTGCAGGATGCTGAATCACGTCTTTCGCGTCTCATGGCAGATTTTTACACTATCGTGGATCGATTAACCATGGAAGACGGGATTCAAACGGAACCAAAGAAAGTTGTCGGATATTAGTGGAGGCTCTACACCCACCAGCATTTAAAGCG